CGACGCTGCTGCTGCTTGACAACCGCATTGAGGGGAATAGGTACGCACTTCATTTCCCCGTTGTTGTTGTTGTTGATGGTGGCGGGATCATTGTGAAGGGAAATGTACTGAGGACAGCGGGAAATAATGGTGCAGAATTAGCCATTTGCGTTCATGCTGTTGACGTGAAGAACGGCGGCTACTTTGACGTGGAGAACAACGCGATGAGTGCGGTCGTAGGCGTTTGGTTTGTGAAGATGGCCACTGTGAGCACCGCGGGGCTGCTGAGAGTGGCGGACTGCACGTTCATTGGCAAGAAATATTTTTTTGATCCCGCGCTGGTGTATTTATCGAACTCTCTCATCCTTCAGGGTGGAGCGCAGTGGCGTGTGGAGGGCAACAACGTGAGTGCGGCCTCAGTATTAAGTATATCGCATCCCCAGCAGAAAATTAGGCTGTCGGGCAGCGGCACCACCGTGGTGCTTGCACACAACCGTCAGGTGGAAGGAAGTGCAGTCTTTGCCAAACTTCTTCCACCGAACACGATTTTGGCGTCGCCCGCGCGATTTGTGGTGGGGTGCAACCTGCACGAGGAAGGGAAGGAGGTGTCGTACGACGGTGTGTTTCCGGAGGGTGTGGAGCTGTTCAGGTGTGGCACGTGCAACGAGGACGCGGCGTGCTACCTGCCCGGGACGGAGTCGGTGGACCGCAGCTCGTGCTCGTGCAGCTGCAAGGGCGGATGGCATGGCGCGTCGTGTCTTCCCTTCGAGGTGCCCGACACGGTTGTGCCGCCCGTGGCGGAGAGAGCCGTCGACGGTGACACGAGCTGCGTGGTGAACCAGACGCTGACGAGCCTCACGCTGAACATGTGGAAGACGCACCACTGCTTCTTAGGTGTCACATTCAGCGGCGTGGGTGCCGTGCTGACGTTCTCTCTTAACAGTATGCCGCTGCATCTCCCCATCAACATCACGCTTACTGGGTGCACGTTCCTTTACGGGGCTGTGCTGCAGTTTGTTGGGGGTGCTGAGGCGGCCGAGTCATCCGGCGTCCTGATCCGCGTGGGCCGGACGGTGATGCGGTCCTCTGTAGTTGTGTTTGCACTTGCTCTTCCACAGCACTGCGACATCGCCGTCACGGAGGTTGACGCGGTGCAGTTATCTGTCGTCGACATACCGGACACTACGAGCAGAACGCTGAGCGTATTGTTACTGAGGAACGTCGTGTTGGCTGCTTCTTCGCTGTTGGTCAGCAACGTCAATGCGCATTCCTTGAGGTACGGTGGGTTTGGTTTGTACTCGGTTGGGACTCTGACGCTGGTGGGTGGCAGCTCGCTGTACGCGCGTTACTGCAGCTTTGATGGGTACGAACACCTGTTCTACGTGTACAGGCTCAGTGTCCGCAATCACTCTGTTTTTGCACTGCTCAACAACATGATGTCCTCCGGGACAAGCTTCCTGTATCAGCACCAAGAATTCAGCGTGTCGAATCACAGCGTGTTGCGCGTGGTGGGGAACAGCGGCTCCGTGTCCTACGCCACCTATAACGATGGATTGTGGACCGTCGAGCAGTCAGGCTGGCTGGATTGGCGC